GATAGATAGATAGATAGATAGATAGATAGATAGATAGATAGATAGATAGATAGATGAGAGAGAGAGAGAGACTAAAAAGAATTAAGTCAAGAATTGGACAAGTAAAAGGTCAAGAAAAAATTAATAGCCCAGGAAATTAACATAACAAAAACTGATGATGAAAAATATTGTCCACCAATGCTAAACTGAGTAATATAATCAATGGGGGAATTTTTTATTTAGTTATTTATTATTTATTATTAGATTTTTATTGCACCTTTATTATTATCGCACCTATATCGAACATGAGCTGGGTTGGGCTAACAGAGACTGACTGGCCTAACGTCATTCAGCTGGCTTTCTAAGGTGGGACTAGAACTCACACTTACATTACAAAATACAGTACGCATAGACTTCTATCCAAATGCAAAGCCTTCACTATGAATCAAGTTTATTCCTCAATGGATTTAGAGAGATATTTGAGGTAATCAGACTAATACTGTAACATCAGGGCAACAAAATACAATCAAGACTTATTTGCTCTTGTTCAATGCGCAAAATCTTTGCAACTAAAGCTGTAACTCTTACCCTAATAGATATATCTGGAGAGATTCTAGGGTGTGATTACCCTGAATCTCTTTTCCCCTCCTCCATCCAGCTCTCTCCTCTAACTGCTATCATGTAAAATTCAGTATTTTTGTAATAACCCATTGAATTAAGGTCAGTAAGAATTCAATTTAATCAATTGGAGCTTGTTATGTTACTATATGTATATTTTTTTAGAAGTAAGTTGATAGAGGGAACCCCATGTATCTATATAATGTTGTACTGCAATTTCTAGCATTTATCCATTAACCATGATAGCTGAGGCTGCTTAGAACGCTTAACTTCAACATATATTCTGTCTCATTGAAAGACCTGAAAACATTTACGAATTTTTAAGCTTGTTGACTTTTACCAAGATTGGGGCTATATCCCTGGTTTAGAGGAATTTGGTTTTATTCTTGTCTCTTCACCATCTTTAAACTCTTCTGCTTTCTTTGTACTGTTTGTATTAATTTAGTGTAGTTTTTATCAACATTGCTTATTCAACCAGACCTTCTATTAAAAAGTGCCCTAGGAGCTAATAACTAGGTTATTGATTTTCACTTCATTTTTTTCGGAAATGAAACCCATCAGAGAGATATGAGACCATGAAATATATTAGCAGATTCTCAAATGTTTTATAAGTCGTTTTAGAGTTTGATTGTCAGTAAGAACAATTCCAAATGAAAGTGAATAGATTGATAGCTTAGAAGTCATAAAGAAATTATTGTATTTTTAAAAATACAGTGTTTGTTTTTGTGCATGTGTATTTGTGTGCATAGATAGAATAGCTGAGTAAATCAAAATATATTTTTGCTTGTGTAAACATTAACTTAGAGCTGTTTCATTTATTCAGATACCTTTGATGAATGGGCAGATGGGTCATCCCTCAAGACCTCAGACAAACTATAGTCAAATCCATCATGCTGGACCCCAAACATCGGTGGCAAGACATCCTTCCAGAGAGCAATTGATTGATTATCTGATGCTTAAAGTTGCCCATCAACCTCCCTATAGTCAACCTCAAGGCCCAACCAGACAATGCCATGAGGTATCAAAACAAGATGCAAGGGAGACATTTTTATTTTATGGATCATTGATCCATAATTGATTGTGGATTTCATTCCCATAACTAAGCACTGAAAATTATATTTAACTGTGATTCTGTTTTGCTGTTATCTTCCACTGGCCTCTTGCTTCTTTCAAAAGTGAAATTATACAAAAATGATAATGGCTTTATTATCACAGTACTATTTTACTTTCATAGACATTACTGAGGAACGCTGTCAAAATTTTAGATACACTTTATTTATTTTAAAGAGCTAACTTTTGACTTAAAAGTTCCCTTCAGTGTAGTTTACAAAATCAATATAAACTATATCTCTAAAATAAATAAATAAAACTGTAAAAATAATAATATCCCCAACATATTCAAGATAATTGGGTTGCTTATCTTCATTTTCACAGTCTTGTATATGTAAGTAACCTACTTTTAAATATTATGTTTCATATTTTAGATTCGAGTAAGAATTGAAAAAGACCCAGAACTTGGATTTAGTATATCAGGAGGAGTTGGGGGTAGAGGAAACCCCTTTAGACCAGATGATGATGTGAGTATTAATTAAAAATATGTTCTTTAAATGAACATTTATCCTTTATCCATTGAGGCACTGTTTACCATTTGAAAAAATTGAAAATACAAATATCACAAATGTACTGAAAATTTATACATCAGAATTGAATATTTTGTTTTTTTGCTTTTTTCATGCATTCTTAATACATTGTTTATAAATAATTCATATAAATCCTAAAATTGTATATAATTAAACATAATTTTGTACATATTCTAAATCATGAGTACTTTCTATAAATCTGTTTCTTTCGTGCTTTCATTTCCTAACTGGTGAGTTGTAACTGTTCACATACGCACCACATCTTGAGTCTGTAAGCATGTATGGGTGGATTGGCTTGTTTCTTTAGCTTATTTGCCATTCAGTTTCTGAAGATTTGTTAGATAACAGGTAATATGGTTAAACTATTGCAATGATCTCTGTGTTTAATTTCCTTAAATAATTGTCTAAAAACTTCAGTTAATATGGAATGTGACTGTTAAGCTGCTAAGCAATGCATACTAGCAATAACACTGCCTTGACATTAAAAGATCTGCACTGTTATTTGCAGGTTTGATTTGTGCATTGCCATATTGCTTTTACTACAAATAGAATATTTAATCCTTCCCTCTGTTCTTCGTTAAATGAAGAAACAGGAATTCTTCGTGTCCATTTAGCTGTTTTGGGTTTAAAATGGTACTTTTTTTCTCATGGATGCCATCCAATATCTTTACATCTGTATAATGAACATAAAATATAAAAATATGTTTAAATTGTGAATTTTATAGCAGTAGCAATAGCAATAGCAGTAGACTTATATACCGCTTCATAGGCCTTTCAGGCCTCTCTAAGCGGTTTTACAGAGAGTCAGCATATTGCCCCCAACAATCTGGGTCCTCATTTTACCCACCTCGGAAGGATGGAAGGCTGAGTCAACCCTGAGCCGGTGAGATTTGAACCGCTGACCTGCTGATCTAGCAGTAGCCTGCAGTGCTGCATTTAACCACTGCGCCACCTTGGCTCTTTAATTTCCTACATCTATCTCAATATCACTTATTTGTGTGTTTATTTTTCATTAACCTTTCATAATACAAACTTTTCAAAATGTCTTCAAATTGTCAGGATTAAAATACTGAAATGATGTTTGTTCATTTACATAATCTTTTGATTAAAAAAGCTGTCTTCACCATGAAAATTAGAAAAAAATAAACATAACATAAACATAGTGCATAATAGAAAATAATTTCAACTATACAGTAACACTATAACACAACAGTAACACTATTTCCAACCATCCCTGCTAGGTTCCCCAGAAAAGCAATGGGGAACCGAGCAGGGAAGATTGTCATTGGCATAAGTCTTCGCCACCCTCTCCAATATTTGGGAAGTAAGCATACTTTATGGCTCTCTAAATAAACAAATTTAATTGTAGAATCTGCTATATATTGAAAAGACTTAGCAGCCTAGTGGAACCTATATGTGTCAGCTAACAAAAATCTCTGCCAAATTGATTCCTGTAGGTTGATAAACCTAGCAGTCCAGCTCCACCCTTTTCAGAATCCATGAGATCAATTACCAATGTAATTACCGTAATGATCACCACTCTGACCAATAAGGCTTTTCATTAGGCTTCAGCAAATCTATGCACTAGTTACATCCTGGCAGTTGATAAATAGCCAATTCCTTCCCCAATTCTTCCATTCAGAGTGGAAGAATTGTATTATTTAAAACTGAAGGGGGGGCTTGGGAATGTTTGAAAGTTTTATGATAGCTTCCTGGTTGGGAGCTTTGCCACAGCAGAAATAAAAGTTATATGCAGTAAAAAAGATTTGGAATATTAACTATTGCCATTCTACTCGTGGGGTACTAACTGATATGGTCTAATATTGTGATATTAAGATGGGTTCTTTATTTTCATTACTATGTAGTTAACATGTATTTTGTATCAGAGGCAAGTATAAATGTAATATTATTCAGACATTGGGCTGCAGAATCCCACATATCTACTAACTGCCTTTCTTGTACTCATACATTCCCTACACATTTTAGTGGCTTTAATAACATGCATGAATTTTAGATTTGAAACATTTTTTGTTCAAAATAATATAGACAGCCAATAGCTGCTGCTATTAATACCTATGCAGTATAAATACATGTTTATTATAAGATGAATACTACTACTGTTTTTGTTATCTTGAAGGGTATTTTTGTGACTAGAGTACAGGCTGAAGGACCTGCATCAAAATTATTACAGCCAGGAGATAAAATTATTCAGGTAATATAATTTAAAGTATTCATAAATTATTTTCAACAATGTTATGCCTTTGCAAGATTCTATCAGTTTTCTGAATTTTATGTAAATAATTAGAAAAAAAGTCTATTAATACCGTATCTTTTCTCTGTCACATATTATAAACCACCCTGAAAAAAAAATCTGAAGGCAGCATACAAATGATTAAAAATGAATAATTGTATATAAATCTTTGATTTTAAATAAAAAGGCGGAGAAATTACCATTTTGAGTCTCATTGCAAAATAGTACAGTATTTGGTAAAGTTTTCAGATAAGGTGTTTGAATTAATAATTTAATATTTCAGGATTTGGTAGCTTATAGTCTTAGCTGTAATGATAATGATTTTGTTAATTCAATTCCTAGAGGAAAGAGAGGCTGTGATTGTATATTGAACATATGTTTGCTCTTTTGTGTTCCTCCTCCATTGATATGTTATTGGAACAACAACAAAGTTTTCTGAAAATTATAAATTAGAATTTCATTTGAATGGTGTTCCAAAACAAAATAAAGTTCAAAAACAAATTTTAAAAACTTATTGAAAATATTTTCTTTTAATTTATTAATGTATTTGTTTCTTTTCAGGCTAATGGATATAGCTTCATCAGTATTGATCATGGGCAAGCAGTATCTTTGCTAAAGACTTTTCACAACACAGTGGAACTTACTATTGTTCGAGAGCTTTCTTAAACACTGTGGAGAAAGAGGAAATTCTGTGTAATTTTTGAAGGACTTGTGGAAAACTTAATATTTTGACTATTTTTGTATGCAAAACTTTTAAAACTATGTACAGTAATAAAATAATGAATTTGTGGTTATGGGGAAAAACCACTGTAAAGAATATAAATGAAGCAGTTATGGAAATGCATATGGTGATTAGAGCTAAATTGTTTTAAGACAGTGTAGCAATCAAGGATCACTCCTCCAAGAACAAACCTGTGGTGTATTTTGTACAGATGGTAGGTTTATTTTGTGGGTAATTCATATACATTAAATAACTTTGTGTACAAGGAGCCTCCATTGTAGCCAGTGGACAGATGGCAGGGCTTTCTGTCCTATAGCAGTTTTGTTGCCTTTAATTTTTCATTTATTTTTAGAATCTTTGTTGAAACCACTTCAATAGATATTGGTAAGAAATTTTAAAAGTTGGCTTTGCAATGTGAGTATTGTATAGATGAATTGCTAGACTGAAAGTGGACTGATTGGATTAAATTAAAAGGCTAGATAAAAGTATGAAATTAAAAGAAGGGGAGATGAACTTAATGGGAGAATCTATATGTACCAATTGAAAAAAATGCAATAAAAATGAAGGTTTTTTTAAAAAGCTGAGTGAATAAATATACTTCTGGAAGTTCTACAGGATTGGTTCATATCAAATCAATTGCCTGTCATATTCCTACGTGTAATTTAGTTTTGAGTGTTTTTAATCACACATTTTTTTTAAAAAAATAATTATTCTATTGAGTTGTACTGAAAAGGTACTCTCATTACAAAAATTCCTGGTTTTATATAAAATAATGATTTTCTTCTGCTTTGTATGAAATGCTCCATATTCAAATTATTTATACATTTTTGAAAAGAACCTGAAATGGCCAGTTTTTGCTGTGTTGCCTGTAATGTATGATGATGCGTAGACACATTGAATTTTAACATGTGCATGTTCTGAATAGAAAAGCTGTGGTCTTTTCAAGGAGGCTTATGATACTGAGCCATATGAAGATTGGGCTGCCCCAGAATAAACGATTCAGAAAGAACTCTGGATTTTCGTTGGCCTTCAATTGCCTTGAGACTAAAAGAAATAATACGATGGAGCTATAACCAAAGCCAGGTTATGGGACGCTGTTGCACAGCAATAGAAGGTTGCTCCCTATTGTAAAGGGACAGGTATTTTTTGGGCCCACCAACTTGTATGATCTTCTTCAAAGGGCTGTTCCTACAGGTGACATTAAATGTGAACTCGACACTTCAGAGTCATTAAAGGATTTCTAACTATATTAATGTAAGAGTGATTTATTACAAGCTGCCTTTTGTTTATTATTACTTGCATAAAACATTGGATTATAATTTTGTTTATGACAAATGTTTATGTTCTTCATGTTCATGATGCAACAGAGATAATATTGCCTAATTCACAAGATAAAAAGTAATACATAGATATTATGGACCACAGAAGAGTGCCATAGAAGACAACTGTTTTTAAAAGTGAATGATCAACCCATCATTGGAAAAATATTCATTTAATTGAAATTTTAATAGAAATTGATAGTTGTACCAATCCGTTAAAGATTTTGCAAAAGCATACTTGAATGGAAAATCCACATTAGCAGCTCTCAGTAGTTTTTAAATGATAAACTTAAATGATATTGCACTTCACTTACCAACTGAATATTGTACCGCATATAATTCTTAATTTTAATTGAAATCCTTTAACAACTCTTTATACATTAACTTTAGTTGATTTTATTAAAATTTACATAGGCATTGTTTTTTATATTAGCAGAAATGTGCTGTATTTTGGTAAAATTCACATTTTTTGTGTGCTGTTAATCTTTAAAAAACATAGCTATATGTTGACAAGCGTGTTGCTATTTTATTTACAATTTATTCAGTGACTCACATTCATATTCATTGCTTTTAACTATTCAGTCTTTTAATAAAGAGAATATAAAGAAATGAAATAATTATGTGATAGATAAGTTTCAAAACTGAATATGGATTCAATTTATCTTTGCATACAAGATGTAAGAATGAAATATGTCCCAAAATATTGTATTTTGTATGAAATGAGAAATATTCCTTAAACTAAATTAGAAATTCATTTGAATATTTTTTGTTAAAAACATTGCCAAATTTTTTCATTGTTTAAAGTAACAGTGCAAGAAAAATGGTGCTTATTGTCTGTTTGCAAGGAAATAAAATTCTGTTTAAAGTTCTTTTGTGGGGAAAAACATTGTCAGAATAAATGTTTGAGGAGAGATTGTTGAAAAAGAACCTCATCAAAACAGGAAAACATTTTTTTGAAGCCATGGGTATTTAATGTTTCTCATTTTATCAAAATATATCTGGAAATTTGATAGAATAGATACAGAATGGATCATGTTATCAATTCAGGTTTTTTTGTAATAGTTCTTTAAAAAATCAGTTCAAGTGAAATTTTTGGAAAAAGTCCCACATATTTATTGTGTAAATATTTTTTTTTTACTATTTTTGACGAGTTTAAAAATGTGTACATACTTGAACACATCTGTGAACACAATCATAGCAATAAGAGACACACAGAACCAAGCCTTTATCATTAATTTGCTGTATACTACTTTTTAAAATAACTATTCCCTTGTCAGCCGCTCTGTAATGTTTTTATTGATCAGCATTTATTCAGCATTCCAGTTTTTTGTATATAATTAAATTGTTTCTGGAGTAACACATGAGAATAGATAATAAAACTAATGCTCTTTAAAGTTATGTGTACTTTCTTGGTTTCAATTTACATTAGTTTTATTTTTTATAAATTGTTGAACCCCCCTTGGAATTTCTAAATAACTTTTAAAAAATTATTTGAATTAAATACAATGTATGAACAAATCATTTCATACTGATTTGCATTTGATACTGATTGCTATTCCAGGTTAAGTAAATAGACAGATTGACTCTTAAATGAAATTCACAGCAATTTATCAATGGCAACAATTTAGAGAGGATGCTTTTCCAGGTCTCTCAATTATGCTGTGTGGGAGTTCTATTTGCACAATTATTAACACAAATTCAATACCAATTACTAATGAGAAGTATTGCAAGTCAAACAAGCAGTTCATTTTGAAAATATTAAGTGCATTTAAAATACAAATTTGTCAAAACTAGTCCAGGGTTTTTTGCTTCCTTAAGACCATTGGCCATTTCACACCTAGAAACCAAAGTGTTTCAAAATCCGAATCTTTTTTGGACTCTTTTTTTCATCCCTGAACTGTTAGACTGACCCAGAGGGAAATATCCAAAATTTGATATCCAAAAATGTCCAAAATATTTGCCACGCTTCTTGGGGACCTGAAACCATCTCCGAAGCGAGTTGAATCTACCCAGAGGAAAGCTTGCTGAGGACCCCAGTTCCGAGAGAACTGCTAGGATCCCATCCCTGCTCCTTCTCAGTGTCCTCCCCCCTTCAGCTTTGGAAAAGCCTTTCTCCGTTATTCCGTTACTGCGCTTTCTGTTAGATTTTCAAAAAGCCATGAAAAGACGGGATAGAAAATTAAATTGATAAACCATGCATTCATTGTGAGGAAAATACGTGATTTGTGAGAGGACACTCAATTAGCATGAAAGCGCTGAAAACATACGAAGACGTCTTTCTGCCCAACCCTCGTTTTGTCCACGCTCACGTATCTGCCATCACATTGAGCAGTTGTGGTGGCTGTGGATTCCCACTTCCAAGAGTTGAACGTTTTATGGCTCTGAAGCTGGCGCAAGAGCCTCAGCCCTAGGATGCGTTTTTTAAACTTGGTCTAATCGGTGTACAACCTAACAACGCTAATAGTATTCTTTAGTGCCGTGAAGGATTATTGTTGCCATACATGGAAAATCTACCTATAGAAGACGCTTGCGCTACTCAAGGATATTTTTCTTTGTCTCATAATTCCATAAAACATATTTTATATAAATACGAGACAAGAAAATATGCTTAAGGCGGACGCTAAAAAATTGTGACTAATTCGTTAGGTTTATAAAATAGTGTATGTCGTCATACCCTGCACCCGCCTAACCCCTCCCCCCCGTTCCCACGTGCGTCAACCAGCGAATTTGCTTTATGCGGGAGAACTTCGTCCTAACCTGAGGAAATGTTGGACTTCCGCATTGTGCCTTGGTTTTTTGTATTTGGGATACTTTGACCATAGAGCTGTCCTCTCCAACTTGTCCCTTTTCAGACTTGCTGGACTTCAATTCCAATAGTGGCGAGATAATTTATCACTCCTGGTTAACAATGACAGTTCAAAATAGCGACTCCCCCCTCCTCTACAAAATAACCTTTCTAGGAAAGCCATTCCCGCAGGGAAAGCGCTGTTAATGCTTCCCACCTCATAGAATATCACGTGAACGGAAACATCGCAACGTATAACACTCTAGACGCCTTTTCTATGGTAACTTCCGTCCCCTCGTTTACGTGCGTTGGCTTGGGTCAGATAGAGAAATTGCCGCCATCATGATGAACAGCGGTGGAATCGGGGTCCCCCTCGGCTTTCCTTTAACTCCTACTTCGGTTATTCAAGTCACTAATTTATCCTCCGCGGTTACTAGTGAGCAGATGCGGACGCTCTTCGGTTTCCTAGGTGACATTGAGGAGTTGCGCCTTTACCCTCCGGAGTAAGTGAGGCCCGGGAAGCCATAGAGAATGGCGGGAATGACTGTCTTTTAAGGAAAGGGGTATATTAAAAAAAAAAAAAAGCTGACCGGATGCTGCGCCCTCCATTTTGCTTGTGGGTGGCTGGGAGTAGCTCCGTTTTGAGGCTTTTGCTTTCTGAGAGGATTGTTGCCCGGAGTGAAGATGGCACCTATTCATGGATTTATTTTTCTCCCTCTTTCGTCTCAGCCCTATCATTCTTTTCCCTTTCGGTATTGTGAGAAATGCCTCCGGCGTTGAGGTTGGCGCTTCTTTGTTAGACGTCCTGATCCGAGCCCTCTGCAGATAAGGTTCTTTCTGTGGGAGCTCCGTTGGTTTGGCTTTGAAAAAGATGCGGCAAGGGAAGCCCTCTAGCTCCTTCCCAGACACTTCTCCCTCTCAGCTCATCCAACCGCCCGAATTAGATTCTGTGGTGCAGTTTATCAGCCTTATTCTTTCAATCAACCTTAGGTCCCTGTAGAGCTTCAATTCCTTGTGTGTCCAATCACACTTGGCCAATAAAGAATTCTATTCTATTTTCTATCTTTGCTTACTTAATTGGAACAGGGGTTAATGGAATTTCATGAACCACCAATTCAGTACGGTTAGGATAGGAATTGCAACCTATTTAAAGCATCTTTAGTTTAATATTGTGGATAAATAGAGGTCCTTCCTTATAACATGTTATCGCAGATACTGTATCACCTTATGTAAAATCTAAAATCCGGATATGCATCTCAGTCTTTCAATAATGTTCAGGGTAGGTTGAATTGTTATGGTTTCCCAAAAAGATTCCCAACACTTTTTGTGTTCAAGTACTTGTAATCAAGTCGTTAGAATTCTGCATGTAAATGTGCTCTGGGATGAAATGTACCAAACATGTCACTGATAGCAGACATGATTCTTTTTATTAAGAAGATAAACTTTAAGGTTAAGATATACCCAAAAGCAAATATTTATGTATTTAACTATACATGCTTTTCTTTTGCTTCACTGATCTGGTGTTGAAAAAGACATGATCTTAAAGGCGTCCTGAATATTAGAAGTGAATGTAGACTTAATTCTGATGAAGGACATTCCACAGAAAAGGAAACATAAAACATAGAAAACTGGTGTCAGAAAAAGGCCTCTAGTTGTCTATCCAGCCTGTCTTTGGAGGTTTTTTATTTTTAAAATGTTTGTCAGATGATTGACATGGGTTTACGTTTAAACTCACTAATAATTCACCCAGTGTTTCTGCTGGAAGCTGGTCCCAAGCTTTCAAACATTGCTTTTGAATTTCCCTCCTATCAGTTTGAGACTCTGCCCTTATGTTTTGATTTTGCTTAATACTGAAAATACTGCCTTCTAGTATTTCATCCACACTTGTAATATAAAGGTTTCAGACTTTCAGTCATGTTCCCTCCCCTCCACTCCCTGCTGTCCTATAGGTTGTACATATTTAGTTCCTCCATTTTTTTCTTGGAGCTTTCACAGAGTCCCTACTCATCATATCTCTTTGGGATGGGGAGTCTGAGCCAGGACTCTGAAGTCAGAATTTTGAACTTTATAAAAAGTGATGATAGCGGATAATAAAATAAAATCTATAGTGCTACTAGGATTTAGAATTTGAAAGTTTTGCTTTCCTTTTTGCTGTTTTTCTCCTTTTTTAAAGCTTTTTTAATTTGGGGAATAATTTTCTTACTTTGATCCTTGGCCTTGCCATTCCCATCTCTTCTTTATAATTTATTCATAACAGTATACAATAAAAAAATAAGTTTATTTTTTAATTCTTGATATGTAAAAATATAGAACACAGAAATAATTGTTTTATTAGAAAAGCCAAAATATACTTAACATTCACTTTTCATAAATAGCCTGCTCCAGCCTTCCAATAGTCTCCCCATCAGATCCTGATATGTAGGGCACAGAAAAATACTTTCTATTGGTTAGTTTCGTGTATCACATAATGATTTAATAGCAGGAAAGTAATGGGGCATCTCTAAAAGAGAGAATTATATCATCCCCACTCTGGATTCCTCATCACCAGTAAAATATCCAGTTTTTTTTTGTTTTTTTGTTAAAATAGCTTTTTTACTACAAAATGTCAGTGCTGAGATCCTGGAATCTTGGGAGTCTGCATATGGATACTAGATTATTCTATATGCCTCTTAAGATAAAACAAACTATTGATCGCTGACTTTTTATGTTGTTTCTTTCTTGAATTCAAAAGTCTTTTAGTATCTCCTTATGCCAATCTCTGTTCAGCAAATTCAAACTGCACAGTCAAAATGTTGAATAAGTAAATATATTTTTGTTGCCCAATTTTTGATTTAATTTTTATTGCTTTCTGAATATGAATTTGCATATCTCACAGCTTCAGTAATTGACCTAATGTTATCCATGATCCTTCTATTGTTAACCTTCATTATGACAGTTAACAGTTTTGCCATTTCAGACCCAGTTACCATTTTTGATACCGGTATTTTGTCTGATTATATATTACTTTTAATTAATTGATGTTGACATTTTTCTTTTCTCTTCCCTGTTTACTCAGTGGGAACAGATGAATAATTAATTTAAATATTAATTAATACAAATAAAGAATTTGTAGTCTTTGAAGCATGCTTTATTACCGTATTTTTCGGAGTATAAGACACACCTTAATTTTGGGGGAGGAAATCAGGAAAAAAACCTTTGCCTCTTTTCCAGCAGCATCCATCAGTATTCATCTGGCTAACATCTTTGCTGCCTCAGTTGGAACCTGATTCCCGAAGTTGCCTAGGAACTGCGATGAAAGCCTTTTCAATGAAAGTGTAGGGTCCCCTCCCCGATTCCAAAAAGGGTGCATGCAGAGGCCAAACAAGTGCATCATGTTTCAGGTGGCAGGCAGTTCCAGCACGCGCTGCTACCTGAAAATGCTTTCCTTCCCAGTTCCCCGGTGCACATCGCAAAACCACGCGCCCTCCTCCTCCTCCTCTACAGACTCACTGCCTGTTTTCTCCTGGCCAGCACCATCGGCTGGGGGAGGCAGGGAGAATAGTGAGAGGGCAGCGCAGTTGGGCAAAGGCACAAGAGCCAGGTGTGGACACAGGGCAGGCAGATTAGAGGCAGCCAGCTGAGTGAGGATCCCCGCTGCATGGAACCCCCTGAAAATGCGATGGGTGGAGCGGGTGGGTGGAGCTACATTTGGAGTATAAGATGCACCCAGATTTTCACCCTCTTGGGGGGGTAAAAAGGTGCATCTTATACTCTGAAAAATATGAGTAGTATTTTCTAATGTGCAGTAATCATAACTAAGCTAAATATGAACTAAATATAAATAATTGTGCAATTAGCATTATTATTAATAGCTTTCAAAAATTGAATGCCAATGCAGAAGTCTCATCATAGATCAGCACTATAATGTTGGAGATGCTACTTATTGGCTACAATATTCTAGTTTAGATTTTGGTCTTCCATGCCTGCAATTAATCTAATTGTTAACTATATTAAAATTTTAGCTGTTTTAACTGGTCTTGTAACAGAAATATGAAGTATTAATGATATATTTACAGTTTGTTTATCAACATTGTGTAACACAATTTGAACCCAAAATAGTTATTAATTTTAAGGATTTTTAAGCCTTTTAAAATTACAACCTGTGCAGAAGAAAATAATTTGAAGTATTCTATAGACTAAAATACTCTTACTTTGTAAATGTTATGTCAAAATATTAAAAATGACCCTGAAGGTTTAATGTCAAAGATGGAATGATAATGTAAGAAAGAAATAAGGCATTCAAAGGAAGATATATAAGTCAGGCATGCTTTGGAAAAAAAGTTCAGATGGTTTCTGTTAAACCTTTTCTTAAGTATAATTATAGTTCATAAGTCACATAATGCATCATCTTTATTCCAGATTGACTTCAGTTCATAGAAATCTCCTATGAATTAGAAGTTAGATTGAATTGAACTGTGGTTTTTCAAGATCAGCCTAAGTTGTTTAGAAGGTCTTATCTATAGAGGCTAATTATAGAATAGTCATGTGACACTTATTAAAGCATTATTGGAGTAAACCATAGTTTATAAAAAGAATATTTTAGTTACTTTTAAACTTAACTAATAATGGTAGTGAAATAATGTTTTATCACCAAGGCTGTGATTATGCTTAGATGTATATTTTATTATGGAGTAAATAGAAAACTCAGTTGTTGAATAATGTCTGGCAAAAGCTTGATATTCTTAACCACATCTGAAGTATACATATAAGAAATTAAGAATCTGTAGAAGAACTGATGTCTTCTATAATTAACTTTCATTTGCACCAGTGTAAGATACATTAAATGATATTGAAAAATATAAGACAATGTATATTTTTGGGTGTTTATATGTTCACAATTGCTTTTGAGCACAGCTTGAAAAAAAGAAGAAACTAAAACATCTAATTGGTTTTCTTTTTCTTGCAGCAATGCACCGCTCGCTTTTTCTTCCAAAGTATGTTATATTAAGTTTCGGGAGTCTTCAAGTGTTGGTGTGGCCCAGCATCTAACAAATACAGTTTTTATTGACAGAGCTCTGATAGTTGTACCCTGTGCAGAAGGTTGGTATTTTCAGTATGGTTTTTTTCATTTTTGTGGTCTCCACTCTGTCAGTTTGTTCCATATGTTTTTTTCAGCAAATATGTGCATACTTTCTTTAATGTAATGTAGTCTTTTACAAGGAATTGCTTCTTTCACTAATTCTTTTTGTTCCAATGTGTGTTGTTTACCATTTGCCTAGAAAAAGTGAGTTGAACAACACAGACATATTTATATATGAAAATGTCCTAAACATATTTTTAATTAAATGAGTGAGCACACGTCTTTGTTGCAGCAATAGAAACCATATTTTTTAGTTTTTATTATGAGTTATGAAAATAGAATAAGTTTTCCAAGCTAGGTATTATATCTTTTTCAGTAATAAATGATATAAAATATGATATATTATAGAGAGTAGTTACTTAGTGGGGTCAACACCATACCAGGATCTCCAGATTGCTTCAGGTTATCTCAAAATTAAATATTTTGGAAATTAAACATTTAAAATGACTGAAATCCAATCTCCCATGAGAACTCTCATAGTGCATAAGGTGTTAGCCATTTTAACTTAAGGATATATTTTTATGCCCATGCTATTTTTCAAGGCAAAGGCCTTCCTAAAAAACTGTTCCTGTATTTACTTCCAATATTGTTGGAATTTTAGTTAAATGGGGGGTTCTATGGGTTTATTTGGACTTTTGTTAGTTTTAGAGTGCATTTATTTTTTATATTAGTGTTGCAAAATATTTATATGATCAGTTATTCCTGTATTAGCTTTGGATTTTGTTAGCTTAGTACTTATATCTGAAGGCCACTTTTGTAGCTTCAGTATAGAGGCAAGAAAGTGGAATAGCCATGCAAGTAACAGGATTTAGAAAAATGTTATTACTAATAATTCATTCATAGTTCATAGTGGGTAGAAAGGAAAATGTTGGGAACAGTAGTTGAAAACCATAGGTACAATTGTAATTATTCAGGCAGAAGTTAAAAGGTGGGATTTTGAACCAAAATATAAATAATTCAAGACTGAGGATACAAGTGAAATGGCACTCAGTAAAGACACAGCATATTTCAAAACTTAACAGTTGATTGTCCACTGCAACCTTACAACTGCATCTATGGTCCATAGTTTAGGTATATATTACTAGGTATATATTACCTCCCTTCTAAATTAAAACTATTTTGTGGGATACAGGATGAGCCTTGGAGGTGGCTGAGTTACTTTTGCTATAATGGTGCTGTCTAGGCTGGAAACCACTGGTTTCAGCATTGCCATTTTTTATTTTGTTTCTAGATTGCCCATCTCAGTCAGGAAGGGACATTTGCAGCCTTTACATTCTTAGTCTTTTGTTTTCTATAAATCAGTTAAAAATATAGAATTAACAGCATCTGGTTCCTTTATGAACTGCTCTTACTATTAGAAACTTTCTTCTAACAGTCAGTCTGCCTTTCTGAAATTTAAATTATTTTTGGGTTATTTACCTTTTGGAATGAGAGAATTCATTTGGTTTCTTGTAACATCAGATATTTAAAGAGTTCTATCATATTTTCCCTCAGTTGTGTTTTCCCCCCTCAAGTCTAAGCATGTATAATCTCTGCAATATCATTTAATGATATTTATTTTTTAGTTTCTCATTGTTCTACTCTGGCTCTACTAACTTCTTTGAATCCTCCTTAAAGTACTACACTATTTTGAACAAAGCAGAAAGAAGTAGAAATAGTATTTGTCATGATTTGCCTTTTTATAAATATTATTCCCAGGCTATATATTTTCCACCCTATGCTTGTTGGTTGTTTTCTAAGGAAAAGTTTTGCACTTATTTCTGATTAATGTTATTCTCTTACTTTTAGACCATTCTCCAAATCAGTCAAGATCATTACTTATTTTACTTCTGGCTATGGGTGCATTAACTAGCTCATTGTATTATGTTCTCCACAAATTTTAGAAACATTTCCTTTTCTTCATCCAATTATAAATTATTAATAAAAATATTGAAGAGTTGAAGACGTAGGACTGATCTTTGTGGCATTCTGTATGAAAACTTTGATTTGATGAGCAAGCATCAATATGCATCTTCTGAGTATGAGTTCTGACCCAGCTGTGTCCACTTATTTGTCATCCAGTCCTTACTTGACTATTTTGCTAATAATGTCATGAGTTACATTTTGAAATGTTTTGTGCACTAAATATACAGCATTCTCAAAATGTGTTCAAGAAGTACTCAGTCAAAAATGACATAAGATTACTTTGACAAGATTTGTCCATGCTAACATTTGGTAAGTAAGTAAGTATATTTTTCCAAATTAATTTTTTTATCTTTTCCATAGTTTTCCTAAGTATTGATGTCATGCTGACTGGCACATACTTTTCTGAATCTTTTTCTTCTCTTTGAAGATAGGGACATTATTGTCTCTCTTCTAGTCATCTGGCACTTGCTCAGTTCTCAAGGAATTCAATCAAGATGATTATTTCATGTAGCAGCTGGTTCATCTAGCCCTGGAAATTTAAACTCATTCAAAATAAAAAAGATAATTCCCAGCCATGTTTCTGCTATTCCCAAGATTCAGCCATAGAATTTAAAAGGTTCATTTAGATTACCGAGTACAACCCCAAATTGAAGCATCTCAACCTATTAATTTTCATAATTTCTTGACAAAATCTTCTGTTTGTTGAAAAAAAAACCCTGAACTAAAAGAGGGATTGAATAGCTCTGACTGTATTTACTTTGTTATCTGTTAACATTTTGCCATCTTCGTTTTTCTTTATTGTGAACATATCTAAAAAAGTCATTTCTGTTATTCTTAGCATTATTAGATTATGCTAAACTTTTGCTTTCCAAACACCATTTGAACAGTTCTATGCAGCCTATATATTGGCTTCCTTTGCAACTGGAACACTCAGTTTTTCTCACATGTTTATTTATTCCATTTTTCTTTTGTAATATCTTTATCCAATTAACATAGGTTATTGCTTAGCATTTTAATGAATACCTGTAGAATGAGAAGCTCCCTTGATAGGCCTATATGTAATCCGAAAGATTGTTTTTTATTCATATATATTATTTACAGCTCTTTGGGCTGTGGAAGATTATTTGCTAAAATACAAATATCAAAAAAGTATCTGTTGCATCTTTATTTGCTTTTCTTAGTCCTTATAATCTTGTCCCAATTCTTGACAAACTTAATTCTGTGAAATCTTTGATTAAATATCATGAAGAAAATAAAGGATAGATAGATGGATGGATGGATGGATGGATGGATGGATGGATGGATGGATGGATGGATGGATAGATAGATAGATAG